AAGTATTTTCTGCTTCAATTACACAAATTCTCTGCTTTAAAATCACATTCTTTGTTTTTATTTTCACAACAGAGTATTTGTTATTTTTACAGCAGAGTATTTGTCTTGGTTAAATATTTGTCTGTAAAGCAGAAAATTTGTTTAATCTATGTCATCGATGCAACAGATTTCCTAATCTGGATATCTGTCAACTTTAATTAATAACAATTAATAACTCGGTTCGCGGGGCAAAGCGATACATTTTTTATGTAGTGCAAAGATACGTCGAATGAATCTATTTTATTTTATCAAACTCGAGGAGGTGAGGAGGCTAAATTTAACAATTACCGAATGTTGATGTCTTGCATAAAGCTAATTGTTTAGTGCGTTATAATTCGACCTTGTATTTTTTTGTATTTCCAGAATTTTTCGACTGTGAGACAGACTCTGAGCTGTGTAATGACACATATCGGTCCACATATGAAAGAAGATTCTCTACTTTTCTTAGATGTGCTTGTACAAAATTTTAATAGTGCGTTGGCGAAAGATAGTCATAAAATATTACCTAATTTTTTGGGTATGTATGTGTAGGTTACATAAAATGATGAAGGTAGCCTTGTGGCACAATTAATAACAATATTACATTCCAAAAGTACTAATGTGAAATGGAGAATAGAAGTTCTGGAATGCTTAGCTAATTTATTTTCCTATATTTTTTTTAACTACAGGAATTTACCTCTATTTTTTTTGTTAACTACAGGAAACATTGTACAGGTACACGATCGATTATGCCTCTGTTTGTGAATCTTGATGAAGATATGATCACGATAGATAATTGTGAGAAGGAAACCTTACCTATAGAATTTATTGTTGCCACTAATGTCTGATATTTGGCTCGAAGTATGTCCAGATAAGAAAGTTGAGAGTTACACAGAAATTACAATTTTGAGCAAAACAACTGCATTACTGAAAAATATTGTAATTATGTAATTGATTGTGGAATATATTGATTGGATCAGGATGATTTTTTGCGCCAAACGTATGAAGCGTTGATTTAAAGGTATGTTTCATGATGCATATAGCGATGAAATATTTCTTGTCGAGGTGGTAAAGTAAAATCTTTTTAATGAATTCTCAATCATGGAATTTACGTAAGAATGTTTGGAACAAAATTTGGAACTTTGTCAAATTCACATAAGAGAGGTTACATCTCTGTTTAATTGCAATCAACAATTTCCCAAGTCTGTCAGGAGCAGAGATGCCAATTCTGTTACGGTTGATGACATCGCGACTAGCGCCATCGGTCGGCGGCCTGGCGCAACCGGTAGTACACACACAAGCACAAGCTCGTGTACGTGTGACTCTGGTAGCAGAAGCCAGCCGACTCGCTCTGTCCTCGTCGCACTACGTTCTCTCCTTATTCGCCTTTGGCGCGCTGAGAGCGAACGAGACAGCGAAAGAGAATCTGAGAGAGAGAATCCTTCTCCCTGACTCGCTGTTGTGTCGTATAGCCTGTGACGTAACATTTTGTCCGTCACTGTGCAGACATGTCGGCGGAGGACTCGTGCTTCCTGGGTGCGTTCCACTTAAAGTCTGCGACGACCACGACCACGACCGCAGTATTTGCCGTTTCACTAACTTACGGGCGCTGCGGGCGAAATCTTTAGTGGAACGGGTTTTGTGAGTGAACAGTTTTGTAACATGGATGCCATTAAAGTAATCGTACTGCGCTGTAGAAAATATGAATCTGAAAACTCATCCAGTTCTGATGATGAATGGGAGTTAGTGTTACGTAAAAGGAAAAAGCGTATACTTCGTCCGCGAATTCCAAATTATATCGATGTTGTGGGCCATTATATGGATTACGATTTCAAAAGTCATTTTAGATTAGTGAACATGATTTTTACTTCTAATTATCCACATATGCTTCTTCGCAAGTTGATATTAACAATAATATTTCTTCTTATTCATAGACTGTCGAAGGCGACTTTTGAATTTCTTTTACGAATGCTCAGGCCATATTTAACAAGACAAATAAAAGGATCTCCTATGATACCACCACATCATCAATTAATGATAGCTATTTGGAAAATGGCAACGATGGACTCCTACAGGTAAGGAAACATTCAACATAATGCAATAAATAATTATTAATTCACAATAAAGTATCTGCATTTTACATTTTTTAATAAATTTCTTTCTTAAGATCTGTTTGCGATAGATTCAATGTTGGAAGAGCAACTGCTGTTCGGGCTGTGCGAAGGGTCACTCATGCACTTTTCTTAAATGCTTCAACATTTATTAAATGGCCTATGGGTGATTATGCTGAAAGGGTTATGCAAGGATTCGTAGAAAGCAGTAGCTTTCCGAAAACCATTGGGGCCATTGACGGTACCCACATTCGAATAGATGCTCCAAAAGAAAATTCTGTCGATTACATAAACCGTAAAGGATTTCATTCGATACAGTTACAGGTAACAAGTATTTTAATTTGTTAATAATGAATATTCTTTTGAAGATATTTGGTTATGTACATCTGTGTTCATTTACAGTTGGTGTGTGATCACAGAACTTTGATCACACATTGTTATGCTGGGCATCCTGGTTCAGTTCATGACCAACGAGTTTTTCGACAATCTGAGGTAGCAAACTACTTGAATGATGAAGAGAAATTTCCAGCTGACAGTCGTATATTGGAAGATGCTGCATACGAGATTCATCAACACTTACTGACTCCCTTCAGAGACAATGGACACCTTACAGTGGCACAAAACAATTATAATTATCGCCATTCAGTAGCCAGAGTGACAATCGAAAGAGGCATTGGTCTGTTAAAAGGAAGAATGAGAAGTTTATTGCACTGTCTGCCTATGTCAAGAGTGGACTTAATAGCGGAATATGTGATAGCTTGCTGTGTAATTCATAATATATGTATATTAAGAAATGATGAAATCGAAGTTATCACCATTCCAACTCCACAAGAATATGATAGAAGTCATGTTATTTTATATCAAGGAAGACAGAATGCTGGTGGAATTGCTAAAAGAGATTTAATTATGAATACTTTACGTCAATAAGTTTAAAAAATTGTTATGCAAGATTCATACTATGCACGTATGATCCAATAAGAGAAATTTATCTCCAGAAAATAAACTGTCTTACTAGGTATTGTATCGTTATATGTCTGATGTCATGCGTAGTGTGAATCCTATCTTATTGTATTATTTTTAGTAAGGATTAATATATATTAAACATCTCTTCTTGAGGCTTCCACGGGTGCTTCCTATATAAAGCTTATGCGTTTCGTGGATTTTCTCCGTGTCCAGATCCATTCTTGGAATGCCAACGTTTCGTGAACCTTGCAGTCCACTTCATCAAGGCGAGGAGCAGCCTTGCAAGGTTCACGAAACGTTGGCATTCCAAGAATGGATCTGGACACGGAGAAAACCCACGAAATAAGCTTTATATAGAAAGCACCCGTGGAAGCCTCAAGAAGAGATGTTTAATATATATTAATCCTTACTAAAAATAATACAATAAGATAGGATTTACACTACGCATGACATCAGACATATAACGATACAATACCTAGTAAGACAGTTTATTTTCTGGAGATAAAAATTCTCTTATTGGATCATACGTGCATAGTATGAATCTTGCATAACAATTTTTCACACTACGCATGACAGAAAACCCGCGAAACGCATAACCTTTATCTATATTAAAAATTTTTACTTTAATTGAATTTTAAAATTAAGCAATTGTGCATTGTGTTTTTTAAATATGTTTTTCGTAACAATATGTTTTTTCTTATGGACATAAATACCAGAATATTAAAATATTACTTAAATCTTTAAAATAAATATTTGTAATAAATATTTCATTGCTCTTTATTTGATGTGTTATAATTTTATTTACAAGAACATCACATTTACAGGTTTTACAGATATACTTATAAAATATAAGAAATACAAAACATATATAAACTATTATATTATAAGTTTTTTAATTGTTTTGATAAATGTAGTAAAGTAAACGTAAATGAGATCATACAATGACTTTGTCTTATATAAGTAATATAACATGAGTATAATATATCAGTGTTAAACAAAATAAAATTAATATAAATTTTTCTTTTCACACAAAACAATAAGTAAAACCCGAGGGCACACGACGCATGTTTTCCTGCTGAATTCTCGATTGTCAAAACGGTAGTAAAATATAAATTCAGCGAGAAAAAAATATTGTATGCCGCCAACTTAAAATTCATCTAAGTAGGTATTACAAAACAAAAAAAATATTACATAAAATATAAAAGATGTGTTATTAATCATTAATGTATTAAAGAGCATTTATATTGGCCGTAACCGTATTCTATAATCTGTAAGAGTTGATCAATCACACTCAAGTATTCCCCTCTCATTCGACTGTAAAAGTGGAATACTCTATTATGATTGATCAATTCTTACAGAATATGAAATACGATTGTTAAACGTTACAGAATTGAGACTTTAGTTATGATTAGCTATAATAACTTTGGAAAAAGGAATGGAAAAGTATTGTACTTTATAAAAGATACTTTTTTTAAGTTAAGCATTAACTACTTTTCAGCTAATTTAGTCAAAACTGCAAGGAATTTCTCGTCCATTTTCAGTCTTTCTTTATGCCTTTCAGCTTTTGCTTTCTCGTGTTCATTTTTTTTATCTAGCTTTTTCTTAAACAGTCCGTACATATTTTCTTTCGCTGATGGATTTTTTCTTTTAATACCATGTACACTTTCTGTTGATGATAGCTCTATAAAAAAAACATTTATTAAATATTTGAATAAAATTTTAATTCAAATTTTCATTATTTAAACTAAATAAATGCAACATGACAATTAATTGTGATAACAATCAGATATAATAACATTAAAAATTTTTATTTCTCAACTAATATTTGAAAAAAAACGTTGATTAAGTACAAGACTCTTAATTTCAAAATAACAATTGTATAATGTAAAAGGACAAGTAAAAATTGCGATGGACATTCTGGACAGAATAAAACCGACATTGTTCATCAAACGATGTCGGTTTTATTCTGTTCAGAATGTCCATCGCAACTTTTCTTCAACATTCTTATCTTAACAACAAGTGATTCTTATCTTTATATCGCGTTGCGTTTTTTAATGTAATAAGATAGATTTTTGTATATAATTTTAGTTGTACATCTAAAGAGGGCTGAATCATACAGCTGAAACATGTAATGCATGTAAATTGTCAATTCGCTAGAGTGAATTTTATAATTTTATTATTGTTTTTTAGTTTATTTGAATATTTATTTGAATTTTTGTGATAAAACGCGCGCGTTTTCTATTTATTTATCTGACTTTTATTTATCCTTTTACATTATACAATTGTTATTTTAATATTTGAAAAATAGACCACAACATGAATAGTTTATAAACTTACCAGATGTAGACTCTGTATTAACAAATAATTCTGAATTCTTGACCTGCTTAACAGAAAGTCCCGTTGATGATGCAACGGCGACTGGAGAGCACCAGGCTCTTTTTGAAAAGATATCATCCATAATCTGCAAAAGATACATATATTAAAATACAAGAAGAAATGTAGGATAAATTTTTCACTACATTTTTAATCTAATTTTTCTTGAACCTCATAAAATTGCCAAGTCCGTCTATCATTGCCTGATACATTATTGTGATCTTTCACGCTTTTATAACTTTTTTCAGGCTTCTCAGTTTTGCCGCACATTGAGGCCCTGTGGTCGTATGTCCTTTTTCTACAAGAATTGCACTAATTTCATCCCATATTTTTTTATGTGAATATTTTCCACTGGAAAATTTACCTTGAAAATTTTTAAATGTGCCTAATAGTAACAGTACAGCAGCTGTCGACCACCTATACATAGAATCTGAAATGCACATTAAACTTGTGATTAACTGGTTCATTCAATGTTCATTAAAAATTGAATAAACGTTTTAACTAACGTACTGTCAACAGTATCATCATTTGAAATATCTATTTCAGCATTTGTTTCATGTGTCGGTTCTTGAACTATAGGCGTGCTTTGTTGAGTTGGGACTGATTTGATAGAAATACTTTCTGTATCTTTTGTTATATTTTTGTCTTTCACAGCTGCATTTAATAAAGATGTTGCAAAAGCTAAGTCTAAAATCAAAGAAAATTGCACTAAAGCAGAATGTCCTTGAACAAAGTAAGGTTAAGTATGTTAATTAAGAAAAAATAATGTCTTATAACAGGGCTCGGCACGAAATGCACATTTCGGCCGATTTTCGAGTCGGCTCCGCCTCCCGCTATTCCCCTC